TATCTGAAAGTTTTCTTGTGACAACTACTGTTCAATGGATACACTGTTTTCCAAAGGATGATTTGACATTGTGCCATCATCAGACTGAAAATGAAGTTCAAAACAGTTACCAACGTGATTCTAACCAGTTTGTTAAAAATCGCCAACGATAAAACCTTATCAACGCTCCAGATCTACCGGTAAAAGACACAACAATCTATACTGAGGGTGTAATTGTTTCCAACTTTCCTATAAATGAAATGGTCTATAATTTTCATTATTGAACTGCGTCTGACGCTGTCAAACAGGAAGTGTGTTATCTCCGATCGATTCTGACTTCATGGAAATTCTAAACAAAGGATTGTCAGCGTTGTAATTTATGTCACGTTATAGTCGACTTCTCTTTTCTTTATACAATTATTTATTTTGTATAGAAGATTTCAAAAGAAGAAAATATTCAGGATCTTTATGGAACAACAAATTCTAAAAACATAAGTTTCCTATGAAAAATCCGAGTCAACACAATTCTGTTGTTCTCGATTAGAAAAAAAACAGCCATCAGCAAATGACAATAAAAGATTATGTTTAACTGGGGAAGAGGGTAGGTTTGTTCTTATCTAGGCGGTAGAAACGTTTTATCCCCTTGATTAGGGTGAAATTTATACGGAGTGATTCGTGTCTGTAAGGACCATTTGCAAAATTATGCTCTTTTTTGTCTACTTTAAATTATCAACCGATTACAACGTAGAATTTCGGGCATAATTTGTTATGTCTGCATTAAGGAAGAAAATGTATTTACCCAATGAAAAGAGCTTTTGATCAAAAGAACCTTTTTAGCTTTTTGTTATCTTGCGCAGGATGCATTTTTACTTCTGTCGTGTGGGAAACACACAAAAAAGTAATATCTTTCTGAATTGCTTTTGGCCACTTTATGGACCTGCAACTAATTTTTTACATATTTATATATTTCAGTATTTCAGGTTCTTCTAGCAGCAAACAAGAATCCGCGAATGAAAAACAACTCCAGAGAAGCTTGAACCGACAAAAGGAATGCTGTTTTCGATTGGTCTACAATGCAAAACGCTTGACGCGAATATTTCTTTGCCGAATTCTTCTCCAATGTAACTGCTAGATGGTTAAATAAACCAAAGCTATTTTTTAAAAATTGCCTTTAGATTTGTAGCTATCAGATTCGTATGAACCGATTGTGACCTTGAAACTTTTACAAAACTCGATCGACTGGCCACGTTACCCTAAACTCATTAATGCCACTTAGTTTTAAAACGTGAACTTTTATAAAAGGCAAAACTATCAAAGGCTCATTCAAAATTCCACGGGCGACAGTGGGATTCGAACCCACGGGGGGAATAACAAACGTAAGTTTTGTTTCAAATGATAAATGGCAAAGATTAACACGAAAAAAGTCAAAACAGCCTTAAAAATTAGTGAGTGTAAGTTAACCGCAAAAGTCCAAAAATTTATTATATGTAAAGGAAGAAGGAATCAAGTTAAATTTTATTTTTTATTTAGTTCAGTGCTTAGAGTAACAGTAATAGAAATGAATGCTCTCGAGTTTCACCAATCCACTAAGCTAAATTTATAAATTCATTACGTTTTATTAACTTTTCATATGGCAAGTGCATAGATGTTTATAAACGTGTAATTCATTCGAAATAGACTCAAGAAGAGGATACATTCTGCGAAAGCTTGACGAAGGAACTGAGTAGTTTTTCTTCTTTTAGTTCTTTTCTTCCAAATTTTTTCCAGATTTTTTTAGTACAAAATTATAATATTAAAAGCTAATATCAAATATATAGAGATAATTAAAAACGTAAGTTATTTAAAAGTCAAAACTTAAGTTTTCGTTGTAAATAAAAAGGTAATAAATTAAGCCTAAAATGCCAACATTTATTTTTAAAAAGTAGCGATTTTATGTGCACCTTCTATAAAAGAAAGCCCAAAATTTATTGAAATGTGGAAAAGAAGGATAAAACAAAAAATTTTATTAAGTTCAGAGCTTAGGCTAACAAGAATAAAAATTGACGCTCTCGAGTTTCACCCAATTTGCATTCCTTTTTTAAAAGAATGAGAGTTTTTTTCGGCTAAAAGAGACCATTTTTCCAATGGGCTGGAAGGAGTTAAGCTTTGTTTATTAATGTTCATATTATTTCTCGAGCAAGATAAGGGTTGAACCGTGGTCTGTTTTATATTTTATAAATAAAGTAAATACCAATAATTTTGTTTAAATTTTTTTTAAAAGTAAAATTAATATATAATTTGAAAAATGAAATTTTATTTTCATTTACTGTCGGTTTAATATAATTTTTTAAGAATCGGAGCGATTGAAATTCCCTCTTGAATATTGTATCGTGTTGAATGCAAAACGAAATTCGAACAGGGCAATTAAAATTGTCATTCTAGACGAAATTGAAACTTTCACAGAATCCATGCTGCGAACGACGTGCCGCAATCTCCTCAATTCGTTTCATGGCAATCATTTGGTGCTCGAGCATTAAACTGAACTTCAATACAAGCTAAAATTATCACACTACTAGGCCTAGCCATCATGTGGGGTCGGCCAACTTTCACTATTTGGACAACAGGTTGAACACCCAGTCGATAAACACACAACGCAAAAACCCGTATTTATTCAAAATTGAGTCATTCCTGTGAGGTTTAGTGCATCGTTAAAAGAATAATTTAAGGTAAACAATTGACATAGCAGCTAATTTACATAAAATTGGTATTTTCAATTTTGCCCACGTTCCCGATGCATATTGTTTAGAAATAATTTGAGGCAACCTTTTTCTATAGAGGCGTTTGCCTAATTTTAATATTTCGATCGAGAAAAATATTTAATTGAACAATGACTATCAGATGAGTATTTCGCATGGTTTTTAGTTATCTGCGGTTTGTTTTTGTTTTTTCAACCTTCACATAAATTCCGAAATATTAGCTATACATTTGGTATTTCTGTGCAATAATACCCATTCGTACGTAGATACAGTTTAGCCATTTAAGATGCACTGTTTAACCTAAACTCCGAAATATTTAATGCATCACGATTTTAAGTTAATATTGTAAATAACATTTTAAAAATACTTAAAGAAGCTATTTGAGGAAAAGGAGAGTTTTTCAAGAGCAAGGAGCTCAAATTTCTGAGCTAACTATTTAGCAAAGAAATTCATTTCAGTAAATGTTCTTTTACTGTCATTATATGGCTTCTTCTATTTAACATAACCTCCGGAAATATTTAACATACCACATATCTATGAAATTGTTAATGTAGGTTTTAAGATAATTAATTAAAAAACAATAAAAATGCTATGAAGATTACTACACATTTGGTAGATTTTTTCGTATTATTTTATTAATTATTGAATAATAATTCTACCGATGAGATGAGCACGATTTGAAGGTACTATATTGTATTACAGGAATATTTTTTGGTCATAATTCGTTTTTCTCTGTTTAACCCAAATTCCGATACATAAATTTCATATACCACATATTTAAGTAACTGTTGATATAAATTTTAAGAAAATTAATTAATAAAAAAACCGATAAAGAATCTATGTAGTTGACTGCACCTTTAGTAGATTATTTCCTTTTATTTTAAATATTGAATAATGATTCGAACGACGAGTTGAACATGATTCATTTGAGGCTACTATGTTCTATTAGTCATTATATGGCTTCTCCTGTTTAACATAAACTCCGAAATATTCAACATAACATATATCTAAGTAATTGTTAATGTAAGTTTTAAGAAAATTAATTAATTAAAATACAATAAGGATGCTACATAGTTGATTACTCCTTTAGTAGTCGTTTTATTTTAATTTTTGAATAGTCATTCGAACGACGAGATGAACATGATTCATTTGAGGCTACTATGTTCTATTGCAGGTATATTTTTTTCATAATTCGTTTTTCTCTGTTTAACCCCAACTCCGATAGATATACCACTCATTTAAGTTACTATTACTGTAAATTTCAAGAAAATTAATTAATAAAAAAACAATAAGGATGATACGTAGTTGATTGCACCCTTATTAGGTTTTTCGTTTTATTTTAATTATTGAATAATGATTCGAACGACGAGTTGAACATGATTCATTTGAGGCTACTATGTTCTATTACAGCCATTATATGGCTTCTCCTATCTAACTCAAACTCCGAAAAATCTAACAGCACATATCTAAGTAACTGTTACTGTAAATTTTAAGGTAATTAATTAATTAATTAAAAAACACTATGGATGCTACATATTTGACTAAACCTTTCGTAGATTGTTGTTTTATTTTAATTATCGAATAATGATTCGGACGACGAGATGAACACAATCTGAGGCTACTATATTTTATTACAGGCATTTTTTAGTTATAATTCTTGTTTCACTGTTTAACCTAAATTCCGAAATACTTACTAAACCACTAGTTTAAGTTACAACTGTTGTTGTAAATTGTTGAAAAAAAATGAAATCTTGTTATGATTACTATACCGTTTCAGTTTTTGATAAAAGTAAAAAGTGACATGTTGTGTTTGTAATCGTCATCACCATACTCATTAGGAAAATCGAATTTGAGTATACTGTTCGGTGGCTTTAAGAGTGTTGGGGAGGGTTTTTAATTGTGTGTTTTTGCAGCTTGAAAAAAGTACTTAGTTGAGATTTTTTTATGGGGTGACTGGCTTAGGTAAGCGCATGTGACTTTTTAGTTGAATATACCATTATCGCCTACCTTGGGACGAATTTAAATGTCAACATAGATGAGATGTCAGGTTTCATTTGCATTTTGTTCAAATTTTGCCTATTCTGGTATACGTTCAACATGGGATTTTCGACAGTCGAATTGGGCGACGAACCAGGCGACAACCTCGGCCAAAAATTGTCAAATTTTAAAATTGTTTGTCAGGAAAAGGTGGTTTTTTTTTTTTTTTTTTTTTTTGGAATTCGGTAGTGACAAGGGTTCTGAGGGGGCGGCCTCGGCTTTTTAACAATACACTACATAAAAACTCACTTATTTCCGGTTCGTCGCTGGTTCCGTGCTCGTCGTCGGATTCAGTGCCGGAGTCGTGATCGTCGTCTTCCACCTGAAAGCGAAAGTAAAATGAGAAAACTGAGGAGTGGAATGGTGAAGCAGCCATTTTTGTGGCGGCCGTTTCTACGTGGGTCGAGGGCGGTGGACCGAGGGTGGCCGGGGTCCTTCCGACCGGCGAACCCTCCTCAGACCTCGGACGAGCCGAAGGGGTTAAAAATCCCTCGATGAACCGTGCTTTTCCCCTTTAAACGGGGCCGTCGGTGCGAATCGAGAGGTGTCGCCATCTTGGCTCGGCCGGGTCAGTAGTGACCTTCAAGGAACGTGCATTCAACGGAATATCGGCCGGTATACGTGAGAAAAGAACCACGGGGATCGTCACTCACCTTCTGGGGATCGTCTTCATTCAAAGAGTGGGTTTTGAGTTTGTGGGTTAGGAACTTGAGCATATTTCCCTCCGAGTCGTAGCGCTCGAAAAGGAAAAACTCGGCTTTCCGCTGGATCTCGCCCGAGGAATAGACACGACTTCGCCCCTCAGACGGTCAGGCAATCGTTAAACGACGTTCATAAACGACTATTTCAAAGTGCGGAGTGAGATAAAGCGCGACATCCTGTTGTGACTAGCCCGTCCGCCGGCCGACAACAAACTGGTGTAGCGGTCGGCCTCAGCCCCCACTCCGGCTCCTTCTACTACGAGCGAGTACGAGTAGTAGTCGAGTCAGCTGAAATGGAGTGGAGTCCATTTGGGCCGAGGTGGTGGGGGCGGCCTTCCACTTTCTCCTCCCGCACTTCATTCATCGGAGATTTTCCAAAATCGTACTCTTCGTCGCGACCGTGTCCCCTGGCCTACGGCCCGCTCCGTCTCGCTTTTACACGACCCACGAGGATTATGAGCCTATTTCCAACGCGGCACCCTTCGAGGTTAGGCCGCCGCCGGGCTCATTGATAACGCTCGGCTCCGAGGATTCGAGTGCAGCGTTGTCGGCCCGTTGCCGACCAGGGCTCCTCATTGGCTCCCGAGCCTGTCTCCTCCTCGCTCTTCGACCCTGGGCCCTTGAAACACATTCTTATGAATGGAACTTTCCCATTCCTATCTGTCAAATGTAGTATTTCATTATTTTCCAATCTCACAGCATCAATTTATTCGCATTTAGCCAAAAAAAACAGTTCCTTAAAATCTGCAAGTGGATATTGCAAGTTTTAGCAATGACAATCCGAGCAATTTTGTCCCACTTCAATTTCATCATGTTATGCCTAGAGTTGAAAAGGATAGTTCTACTCACAGATTCATTTCTAAACAATATTTTTTTTTAAATCAAACAAGTCTCTGAATTCAAAGGCCATTTAAATTATACAAAATCACCTAAATATAGACCCAGAGCAAAACAAAGGGAACTAGGTTGGAGAAATTCGAAATGAAAAATATATAATTAAACAAACAGATAAATGTATAAATAATTAAAATAAAATAAATCTGCGAGAAAACTTTTTCCCGCCAACCTTGTTCATTTTATAACACAGACCCTCTGGATCAAGGTATGGTCTTGAAGAAAAAGGTGAATTCAGTTGTTATTGCCAAGCTTTCGACCCATTTTAAGGTCATCATCAGTGCAAAGCATCTTAAACATGTCTACGGATGGCATAATAAGTTTTTCCAGGCATCTCAAATTTCCTTGAAACCAATTCAGACATTGCAAACAATATTTATTATCTATGTACATAAATCAGTTCTGACTGACCGACATTGCACATATCAAACAGCTGGATCTAATAGGCTAAAATTTCAATAGTGCATTCCTACAATGGCAGGGATAACACTAAGAAAGGATTTTATGAAATTCCATCCCTAAAAGGATCATAAGGGCAATTTTTCCTGTGATTTAGTACTTAAGCCCAGCAGCAAGTATTTGTGACCACTGTTCCGTTTCTTGAAGGAAACAGGGTTGTTCTATTATATGTAGTAATAATAATTGTGTGTACCCTAGGTTGTTTTGAGAGTGAAAGTATTTATTAGTGTGAATGTGTGATGTGAGAGGGTCGATGGCAGAATATCGAGTACCCCATGGACCCTCAATTTGGTTAGTCATATAATACATGTAAAGAGTGAAGGAATTACTCCATACCCTAATTGAACGAATGGTATGGAGATAGGAGTGAATGTATTTAAGAATGAACATGAGTATGAATGGGTTTGGACTGCATGCGTTGAGTGATGAATTGACCAAATTTTTTATTTTATTTTTTTATTTGATAAGCATTCAAAGAAAAAAAAATCAATTGAAATAAGAACACACCAATATTTCCTTGATATTTTTCTTTTTAATAAAAAGTTAAAAAATTAAAAGAAAAAAACACCAATGAGATTAAAAAATTATATGCTCAACTCAGGTAAAATAATAAAATTTGTTTTAAATATTTATTTGTTTTTGTTTCACATATTATTTTATTTTAGTTCTAATTGATGTAAAACAGTGTCACAAAGATCATAAACAGCTTTATAATTTTTAAAATTACAAATCCAATTAGATCAACAGAAACATTTCAATATTGTAATATATTTATTATAAAAGCAAAGAACGTAACAAGTTTTTGAGAAAATTTTATTCTTACTTCAATAAGACTAGATTTCATTTTTTAAAAGTTATCTTAATAAATAATGCATTAATAAAACTCATTCATTCTCACATAAAATTAATCTTACAAAAAAGAAACAAGAGATCTATTGTATCCACACTTTTCTTTGAGGAGAATAAAAGTTTGCCTTAATATTATATTAATAACAATCATCAATACATATTTCAAACAGAAGTTTGGTAGAGTGACTTAGAATTTGATATATTGGTAAATTTCAAAATATTATTTCCATGGCAATTCTTGTATGAATTGTATTTATAATTAATGACTAAGTCATTTGATTTTAATTTTACACATCCAAGTCTTCCTTCTGTAAAGGATGTTTTAGACAACCATTTCGCTGATTTTGTTATAATAATTGAATTGAAATTTTAATGTTGGAACTCACAATCATACTATCATAAACAAGGTTAACAACAAGTTTGCCTGAGATTGAATAGTAATAACATTTCTTAGTTAATTAAATTAAAAATTATATTGACATTAATGCTCTAATTTATCATGCAAATATATCTTTAATATAAAGAATTTGAGCAATTTAAACAAACAGTAGGAGAAAAAAATGAAATAAAAATCCCCAAAATAAAATTAATTTTTTTTCAGATCTGACCAGTCTTTTAGAATTTACCACCACAAAAAATTTATGAGATTTTTTAGTTCAAGCTAGGAATTCTCAAAACAAAAATGTATATCAAGAAGTTAACCAAATCAGTTCAGAGAGGTATTCTTCATTATTTAACCTGAAATTCTCAAGTTCGCTTATTGCAGTCTGTAGCTGATGAATCTTTGGTAATCTATCAGGATTGAGTATGACGTCCACAATTGGAGAGCTGGAAATGGAAACTCATTTATCAAATAACAAATTATTACATTCACAATTTTGCACAAAAACTGCAAAAACATACTTAAGGATATCCATGATAAACTCTTTGAGATGTTGTGGCAGGGTATAAATTGTATTAAGAAATGCTGGCTTATCAAACATACAATCCTTACTATCCAACCTGTCAAATAATTTATTGCATTATCTAATTATCTAAGTTATCTAGGTTATAATAAGTTACTATTGTATATAAAAACAAAGGATAAGGCAAGGGGACCCCCACCTGAGTTACCACTTTATGATAATGTTGAGGAGTTCTGTCTCGAGAGGGATGTTTCGCACTCTTATGAAGTGGAGCCTAAAGCATGCAAATTGGGAGCTTTTTCTGTGACAGTGTCGGCACTCGAGTTAACAGAGAATGTTGACACCAATCTCTGCATTTTTGAGATGGAGATCAACTGTGCTGCAGGCAGATCTATCCCCAGGACCAATGGGTCTACTTGTAGACCCCAGGTTCATTGGAGTAACAATGCCTGCAGCCAGGCGGCACACACGGAGAAGAAGCGGGCATTCAGAAGACATCCAACGGAGGAAAGCCTTGTAAACTTTAAAGTAAAAAGGGCTAGGGAGAGGCATACCTTGTCCCAAGCCAAAAACAATAGCCTGTTGAAGTATATGTCCGAAATGACTTACCATACTTCCACCAGGGAAGTGTAGAACAAGGTCAGAGCCCTCTATGTCCAATCCAAACCTCCACCTGCCAATCAAGGGAGTGTGATGGAAGCTTTGAAGATCATGAAAGAACTGGCACGGCACTTCACAGCAGTGTCTTGTTCCAAGGCATATTCCAAAAGCTTCTGGCAAAGGAAAACCGAGTGAAACGTAGATTGATTTCAGCGATGGCACCAGTGAAGTGTACAACACACTGCTGACAATGGGAGAGTTCAAGTCCACATTGAGGTGTACCCGGAATTCAAGCCCCAGGTGACAGTATTTCAAATGAGATGCTTCACCACCTCCCCCAGGGTGGTAAGCATCATTTGTTGACCTTGGTCAACAACATATGGGATTCAGGCTCATACCCTGTTGGCAAGAGGCACTCATCATACCTGTCCTTAAAGAGAGTAGGAACACAATCTGGCTACAAGTTATAGACCGATTTGACAACCTGTTTGAGTAAGGTCGTGGAGTCCTTGGTGAATAGTCAACTGACCTAGCACCTGAGACAAAGGGATTTTATAGCCTGTATCAAGCAGAATTCTGTAGGCATCGCCCCATGGTGGCCTATCTTCTCGTGACCTTCACAACACATTCTTGAATAGAGAACGTGTTCTGGCTACATTCTAAGACCTTGAGAAAGCGTACACGATACCGTTGATGGTGTGTCCCCCAGAGATAAGGAGTATGCTCTTTGTCGACAACCTCTGCTTCTACCATTCAGGTAAGGATCTGGTGGAGGTCGGCGGTAGGATGCAGTCAGCGATAAACTGGGAGAGCCGAATAAACTGGGTTTACTTTCTCCTCATCAAAAACGGTGTGGGTCCACTTTTGCAGATCGAGGAGGGCCCATAGCTCCCTCAACTCTGCCTGAGCAGTACATGGAAACAGTGCAGTCCTTCGGCCTCTTGTTTGAAGAAAAGTTGAGATGGCAGGCACCTGGCACATATTGACTCCGTTGAGGTTCATGACAGGAGCACTGTTGAAATTTGTTGGTCACTTTAGGTGGGGAGTGGACAGGGAGACTGAGTTAAAAATGTTTGACATGCTGCTTTGTTCGAGGAGCTTCTATGAGTTATGGCTTTCTCCTTGGCCTGGAAAATGTACCTGAGAAAGCTTGATAGACTACTAGACGAGACTCAGAGCGATCTCAGGAACGTTCAGGACCAGCTCTTTCGCCAGGGTGTGCTGCGAGCTGCAGTCCTCCCAAACTTTGGAGAAAGCAGCTTATCTTCGGTTATGCATCTGGGTTCTTGGCCTTCTTCTTGGCCAGGGCACCACTCTTGCTCGGACATGTGCAGGACATCGTATGCCGTACATGTAATATACTACATCTATGCTATATGAGACAGGTTCTATGTAACCTTCTCATTGTGCTCTTGTTAGAGAAATTTGCCAACCTGGTGCGCCTCCAAAAAACGGTGGTTGTTGTCTGGCCTGGAGGTAACAAGCATGCAGACAAGGTGGCGAAAGCCGCCCTACACTGAGTGGACATCCCACTCCAGACCAGATCATCACAATCAGGCCCTATGATGCTAAGCTTGCAGTGAAAAACATGATATAAGAAAGATGGCAGCATCAGTGGGCGGGGTCGTCCAAGATGACCTGGAGACCATTAATTGTACAGTGTCATTCCTTGGCTCCACACAGAGAGAATGAAAAAATGCCATCCATTACGAGAATTGTGCTTGGCTATATGAGAATTGTTTGAGCATGGCAGCAAGTATTTGAGTCCTCTTTTTGGAAAGAGGGTATTTTTGTATACAGTACTGATATCTGTATTATTTTGTGTCCTCTTGTGTGAGAATGAATGTATTTATTGACATGAATGTGTAGTGTAAGAGGGCCAATGGTGGGAATATTGATAACCCCATCGACCATCCATTAATTAGTTATATAATGTGAGTGATGGAGGAATATCAAGTACTCCACCACCAAGGGAATGATATGTAAATAGGAAAGAAAGTATTTAAGAGTGAGTGAAAGTATGAATGGGTTCGGATCAGAGACTGATTAAAGTTTTTTAAGTCTAGTCAGAAACGAACTTACCTTACAATGAAAAAACGATTATAACGATTGTTTTCTGACATCAATAAATCGAGAGCACTTTTCAGAGCACAAAAGTATACATCGTCCCTTGGAGTGGGTTTATTGTATTCAAACGTCTTCTTACTCAGGATAGCTTCTTCTATTATTTTCGAGCATGGCGAGTTTACCAATAAAATCTTGACGTTTGGATCTATTAGGTACTTAACTGCCCAAAGTGGCCCAGTTGAATGTACATCATTCCAATTTCTATTATCCCAAATATCATACACCTATAAAAATATATTTATATAAAAGTATTGTTGTATAACACCTTTTGTAGTAATTCAAAAATTGCTAAACCTGGGCAATTAAGGTTTCTTGAAGAATAGACCTGAACACCTTCATCACATCCATAAAGGCCTTGCAGTCCCTTGGATACAGTAACATGATCTTTTGAGGGATGATTACTGACACTGTCTTTTTCCTTGCAGGTGCAAATGATATATACTGGTTGTAAATCACTTTTCGATAAGCCTTATAATACAACAACATCAAAAGCGCCAAAATGATAAACACAACCACTGCTGTCACAGTTACCGTGATCCAAGGGTTGTCATTCGAAGATGTAACAAGCTGGTTGTTTTCAGCAATTGCTATTAAATGAGGGGGGTAATAAAACTAATTCTTGGTCTTGTTTTAGATGAACTTACAATATGGAAAATACCAACTGCATAGGGTATGGTTTGACCACAATTTCCTTGAAACGCACCGCTGGTCCACCAATTCTACATTGATGCAATAATTTCCTTGTGTTATATTATTAAACTCGCAATCTAGTGCATTTTCATTCCAGTAACACAAACACCCAATGTTCTAAAAGAAATTTATATCAAGAAATAAAAATTATATATATGTTGAATATACTAAAACATTTTGTAATTTTGTAAAAATATTTACTCACTTTATCATATTCGTTAGAGCAGCACTCACTGTCTTCATCTCTACCCTACATGAAAATAAAATGAACTAAATTTTTTAATATATTTATATTTTTAACAAGGGCATTTCCACTACGAGGTTATATATACCCTCGAGGTGTGGGTGTTTTTGGAAGAAATTTTGACATTTGAAGTATGTCAGATTTGAACCCGGGACCTTTTCCTCACAGTGATGAGGACCATGTCAACGCCTAAACCATTGCAACCATGGATGCCCCTACCAAAGATTTGTTTAAAACAAATTATTTAATGTTATTACTTTTCATAATTTTTAAAATTTGTAGCACTTATTAGGCTAATATTTGAGATGATTATCCCTCAATGCCACAGGTACGTCATGTGGGATATTTCATAGCTAGTTTGAGCACTATTAGTTTTGCACTATTTCCAAGTCACCAATTGTGTTGTCCCTGAAGCTTCTGCTCTATTTTCATAAAATTTTGTCATATCTTAAAACTTAATGAGTCTATGAGACACACTATTTGTGACACTCGACATTCAAAGTATGCGTCCACCAGACTCCCCTGTTGCTCAAAATTTTGTCAAAATCTACCTTTTGTATTTTCTTGGGTTAGGGAGTTTTCATTATCTCTTTAGAATTTAAGGAAAGTTCTATTAAAACCACATTACGTTTTGATGATGATGATGATTGTCTTCAAAGCTTCAGATCATGCACAGCTAATAAAAATGTCTCAATCAGTTGATCTCCTTCAATGTTGTATAAATACTCATCTATATGTCTATGTTTCCTTCTTGTTAAATAAAGAATTGTGTGATTCATCACCACCCAACATTATTAACACACCAGCAACATTATTTAAATACATTTTGAATGTTAAAAAATGAGTAAACATAATAATTGGGGTTGAGTTAAGTAAACCACGTTTGAGTGCACCTGAAATGCAATGGCTCAGACCAAGACGAGATTAATTTTAATAAGTTTTTACTTAGTGGTCAAACAAAGATGTTAAGTGCCTAATATGAACAAACGAAATGCTAATAATGGATAAAAATTAACAATTACTATGGTAGTCAAGTCCCAAACAGGGCAATGATAAGTGCAACAAGTTTAAAATTTTTATGAGAAAATTTAGATGTCTTACTGTTGTGCAGCACGCTTTGTTGTTGCCGGAGCCTACACAATCTTCAGACATTTTTTCTCCTGAGCTGAGCCTGATAATTGTCTCTGGAAACTCTCCAATCGGTACATCAAAGCGAAATTTCATCAAGAGCAACAATCTGTAAAAGAAGATTCCCTTTTTGGCATATACATTAATTTTTTCTTTGTCATTAATAAAAAGCAAAAGAAAACATTAAAGAAATTTTTAAAAAAATGGACGAAAAAGTTAATAAAAATTTAAGTAAGTAGAAGAGTCAAGATGGGAACAAATATATTTCTTATTTTAACAAAAATCTTAAATTGCTAATAAACAACTGAACGTAACCCAAAAAGATTAATCATAATGTACAATATTAAAAGTAGAATCTAGTTATTACAAACAATTTTATTAATAATAAATAATGTATCACATATAAGAAATACATATTATAAATAAATTGGAAGAAGATTTTGATTGAAGATTTGAAAGAAACAAAAAAAATGTAATTTTTTATATTAAAGTATGAATAAGGGTTTGCATGCTTTCCATTTGTTAAAATGCAAAACTTTGTATTAAACAATAATCTTAAATATCTTATAATTAAAGAAATGAATAGGAAAATTGAGTCTGAGCCTCTGGTAATCAGAAAGTCAAATTAACAAATATTATGTAAAATAATAATGAACTCTCATGATAATTGTTTACGGTGTTACCAAATTTTTCAAATTTGAATTACCTTTTCAAAAATGAAAATTACAAATAAAAATATAACGAACTTGAGCATATTGAGAAATAAAGATAATACAAAAACTTTAAAATAATGTGCACAGTGTAACCTTTTTGAATCACTTTTTTTTTGCAATAAAAGCTATTTCATATTGATACTTCATGGCCAAAAATGCCAGGATAAAAATACTTGATAACAATTTTTTTATTGCAAGATTTTTTTTCTTATCAATGAAGATTTTAATTTGGACAAAAAGCAGTTATTTAATGTTTCAACAATCTAGATGAGATTTAATGCCTTTAAATACTCAAAATAGGCTTTAAATGTAACCTAGAAATTTTAAAACTGAAACCGAAATTCCAGTTGTTGAATTTGAAACAATCAACAATTGATATATTGTGATTTATCGTATACTGATTTCATAATTGGTGATTTAGTAATTTCACATGGAATGCTTACAGCACTTAAGTGTAGTGTGTTTTTTAAAAGAAGCACCCAGCACCAGAAGTGACAAGAAAACCTATTTCCAAAACCTCTGCAATACCAACACAACCACCACCACTTAAAAAACTATTTTACTTCTTTTCTGAAAACAAAACAGGTATTAGTCTATTTCTAGCTTTAAGTTCAATAGAATTAGAGACTATTTTTATACAATTAATGGTAATGTATAAAACACTTTTTCTTCCTTTTTCCATTTCCTTCTTTTTAACCAAAGATTGAAACATCACAAGGTATAAAAAATAGCCTTAAGGTACCTTCAAATATTGGCTAATTAAAACCAACCTACACCACACAACACTTTTAGTATAAATATTATCAAATGAAATTGCATAAAATAACTAATTATTATTATAAATTTTAATGAATACACAAAAATAATCTAAACACAAATTCAAACAATTCTATCTACAGTTAAAAAGAAAAAAGGTCAAAACAAAAAGCATTTTTTACTAATTTCTTAATTTAAAAATTACCATGTTCTCCTTCCCAACCAAGCGATAAATTTATTAAATCTTTGAAGAGCCAACAAAGCAGTTTTACCTTTGGTCATCGTATACATTTGTCACTGAAACGTTACTCAATGCAAGTGGCATAGGTTTGTAAGCAGTTTTCAGCCGAATAGGCTCGACAATGCAATAATCTAAATTTGTCGTTAATTCGTTTACAGGCTTTACATCCATCCTGTAACATCCCGTGAACAAATGGTTTATAACCAACTCCAGATGCTGCAACAAAACGTTTATTTTAAAACAATAAATTGATTGTGTGAATTAGAAAAGATTATTAGTTTTTCATCGGTGTATATTTTAACATTTTTCTACAAGGGTTATCTACCTCATGTTTTAAATAGATGTACAAGTCAATCCTATTATTTCCCATAGTTTCTCTAGTCTATAAATTATTTAATAATAACTTTATAAAGAAGTTTATCATAAGGTTCAGTTTTCAGTCATAAAAAAATTAATTAAAGTGTACCCAATGAAAATCATAATTTTGTTTATTTTTTATAGATTACAGTGTTTGTACAAGCAACTGCAAATATACTATCTGTTGTTTTACTACGAAAATTTCATTTTGGCAAGAGGATGAATATCTGATTATTTTTTATAAGCTTAAAAGAGACAATTTTTACATGGACAATTACTACAATAAAATGATTGTAACAGTATTATCTCTTCTTTGTTAAAAAAACATTTGGATGTAATGCATATATGTTTAAACTGCAAGAAGAGTTATAATTAGTATTTTATACGAAATCAGTGATTTATGTTTGTTTATATACTTATAATTAATTCTTCACCCTTGAGGCAAAACAGCATAAGTCAAATTTTGGTCAAATAAGATAACAGAATATTCTAGTAAGTCTTTAGGCCTGGCAAACTGTGTATAAATAATTAAGTCAAGAAGCAAACCGTTTCTTTTGAGCACAATGACCTTTTTTTTAGAACTATTTTAGACATCTTGAAAATTTATGTCAAATTTCGATAATTCCACTTGTAAACTAATAAAAACTCATACATTGAAACACAATGAGCCCTACGTAAGTCCTAATGAATATTTGTCTAGGTGCAGCAAAGAGATATGTTTGTTTTACCTACTTCTATTAGCATTTGCTGCATTACTAATAAAACTTAAATGACATCTCTTTTTACCCGCCTAGCAAATTGAAGGTTGATTAACATGTCTAGCTACTCCTGCTGTTAGATTTCTAAAAGCTTGCCCATAAATGCATAAATTTATGCTAAAAATTAGATAAGTGACTATATATGACATACCAGTGACAAAAGGTCAAAATATAATTAAATAAATTTAAAAAAAAACTCTTCTAAGACCTCTACTTTACTCCACAAGACGAATTAATTTATTTAGCTCTTTGAGTAAAATATTTGAAAAAAATAAAACTAAAAATAATTGAATCTGTACAATTAATAATAATATTTTAAAATATGTTATTATTATTTTACAGTGAAAATTTACAAATGTGTAATAACAATGATAAATGTGATTCTTTTTTAGGTATATTTATAAGCAACATACTTTTAAACTGTTTTCTTACTTTACATATTGTTTAATACGTAAGTATTTTTTCCTTTGTTTTCTTAGTTTTGCTTTTATACTTTTATATTTTATATATTGTATATTTCTATATTTAAACATTTGTGTAAATTGGATTTATTCTGTAAAATATATTATTGCTAATATCAAAATACCAAGGTCCACTTGGAAGTAATTGCTTGATTATGTAATGAAAGAAAATGATTTTGTGAAATAGGAAATGTACTCAATAAGCGACCCTCAACAATTCATTACACCATCTCCCAGTGTACGGAGCTTGGTAATGCTGAAAACAGACCGCGTGCATTTAGGCTGGCTAGAAATATTAAACACCATCCAAAAGTGTGTCGTTCTCAAAGAAGTGACCACCGACCCATCAAAAAGTGCCACCGAAATTGGAGGCATTCTGTATCAGGATTATAATATTTTGGGTTACACCCTATCAGTATCAAATATAATTTTAAAAAATTAGGCATGTGATGCAATCTCAGAAAGAAGCTCTATACTCTCCTGCTAAGAAGTAATGCTATTCCTCCAAAATGTTCAACTTTTTTTTTCATTGTATTCTTAAGTATTGAAAAACATAATAAAATCAACGTACAAAAGTGTGTTGACACAGTGATGGAGGGTGTTTTAATTAATAAAAACATGTTTAGAATCATTTATTTAATTGTATTAATTTTTACCCTTAAGCCTGCATTATTTAACTTGAAATGCAGTGGTATGAATTTAAATATGTGATTCATTATCCATTAATTTAATATTCCACTGTAAAAAAATTATAATTAAAAAAAAACATATGTTTGTAAAATCCACTTTCTTTTCAGATATCTTTGTGAATAATTATCACAAATTTTTGCTAGTTAAATTTAACATAGCACCTTATTTTATTAAAAGAACACATACAAATAAGAGCAATTCATAATTAAGTTACAAATAATGATACAAAGGCTTTCAAAATTATTTTAAAAAATTAGTCCTAGGTTAAAAACTTTAAAAAATATAGTAACTTACTGGGGCCATTCAGGATGAAAAACATCAATGCTCAATATCAATGTTAATATCAAAACAGTAGATATGACATTTCTTCTTAGCAGGGCGGTATATAAGCACTTTTAATGCTAATTTAAATTTAAAACACACAATTTCAAAATTAGTCTTGCTCAAAAGCTTTATGTTAAGTTTTCTAATTTTGAGTTTTATGTTTAAAACTGAACTGACAAATAGACAATGATTCGAGTTGGGAGAGTATGGCAATTCAATTTTTGGAAAAGACAGTTCTTCTCACAGAAGAGAAGTACTTCCGTAGATAATTGTAAAAAATAAAATGTTTAATATCTGCAAAAAAGTTGAGAATCAGGCCAAGGTTCATCAGGCCTTAATTAATTGAATGTTATTAATTGGTCAAGCGGACCATGAAAAATATTGAATTTAATGGAGTTCACATGAACTTTTTTTTTTAAAGAAGATTGAGGTGACAAAAAACTAGTACTATTGGTAACAAAATAAATTAATAAAAAATAGGGGTGGACCTACAGATGACTGCGATAAAAACGAGGTAAGTGTCAGTAAATAAACAAATTAAAATTTTAATGTTTTCTCTCTGTATGTACATTGTTTAATTTCTATGAATACTGTTACATGTTATATGTGTTATATGTTTTTGTTGTTGATTAAATTTTATAATTGCAAGATATTGCATTATTAATCAATTTAGCCCATTATTATTATTATTTAAAAGGTTTTTTGTTGTGTGTATATCATAAGACTAAAGCCAATTGAAAGAATTATAAAATAGAATGGAACAGCAATTTTTTTCTGTATAACATTATTTATTCCTGCACCAGCAATTTTCGCCCTGCCTGGTGACTGCAAAAAATATTTCATATTTTCAATAAAAATTATTAGCTTTCATATAACCAATTATTTATCAACTGTAGAAAATGAAATTATTAATAGTAATTATCGCACAATAGTCATAGTTATTACTCATAAATCAAATTTATGAGAAAATATTTCTTAATACAAACACACAAAAAAGTTATGTAGTTTTATAATTATATTAAATGAAACAAATTTATTTTAATACAGACCCTAAACAAGATGATAAATTCATGAGTTTTATACAAAATTATTTATTTATAATTTGAAAAAAAATTCATGAAAACACAGGAAAATATTTATCGAAGGTTAAATAACAATGAAGCATTTAGCATTCCGATTTTGTTAGTTTATTTGGGAAGCTTTTCACTTATATTTGAAATCATCTTCAGCCTTATCCTAATGTTATAATGTACATCTAATGAATTGAATGAAATAATTACATTCAAGGAAAGGAAAGTAATATAAACCAGCTAACATGAAGATGTACTCTGTTTTTGTTATTATCATAACAAATACAGCCAGATAATAAGATAGAATAACAAAAATGGAGTACATACTCATAAACTGGTTTATATTACATATTTTCTTTTCATTAAATTAATTATTTCATTCAATTCATTAGATATAAATTGTAAGATTAAAATAAGGGTGAAGATGCTTACAATGTAAGTTAAAAGCTTCCCAAATAACCAGATCAACTGTTGGAACTAAAGGCTTCATTGCTATTCAACCTTTGATGATGGAGTTCCACCAAAAAAGTACACAACAAACCTTGAAAAAATCGAAAATCATTTAGTGATAGAATAGATTTAACTAGGGGCGTCGGTGGCCGCAAGGTTTAGTCTTTGATACGGCGCTCATCACTGTAAGGTAAAGGTCCCGGGTTCGAATCCAGCGGCCCTGCATTCGAACCCGACATACTTACAAATGGGCTTTTTTTCAAAAACACCGGCACCCTGAGGGTTTATATGACCTCTGCTGTTGCGAACCCTCGTTAAAAAAAAAAAAAAATAAATAAAAAAAAAAAATAAAAAATAAAAAAAAATAAAAAAATAGATTTAACTAATAGTCGGTGGCTGAGTGAGTGATTAGTCATTTATATAGCAATTTTTGTATTTGTCATGTTATGGTTTTTTGGAGTTAAATTCGTGTATCGTCTTTGGAATTTTCAGTAAAAGTATTATTTTTTAGCTGAAATAATTAGTTCACTACACTTAACACAAGGAATATTAATAGTTTCTACATGCAAATTAGTGAATAAATTCCACGATTTAGGTTAAATAATTGCACAAAAGAATATTTCATACTAACTCGACTTTTTAAACTAATCCACTCACTTTGTTTTTATCTTTGTCTTCACATTCATCAAAGGGCTGTCCCATCAGCCAGTGGCTCGAGTGTTCCGAAACATTACCAGTGAAATTGCACTCATTCTCACTCACTGTCATAACTATTTCATAGTAGGTGAAACAGCACTCTTTTGGAGCAAGAGGTAACTGGAATTTCACAGCCCCTGCCGTACTGTTTACAATAGTCCAGTTCAATTTATCCTTACACCACTTGTAACAGTCTGTGCGATTGTTAGCACAATCTAAAAACAAAATTGTGTTGTAAATGAATGTTTCTTAAATTAAGTTTTAATATACCTTGAGAGTTCAACGGTTCTTCATAGCAAAAAGAGGACGCTGGCTGTAATATTTAAAATTACATTAAAAAATTTTAATTAAAGAAGATAAATTTGGCTTTATTTTCTCACCGTTTGAAGCTTATTGCATTTTGATAAGTTATTGGTTTTTAACGAAGCACCACAATTAATGCTAAATATCACTAGCATACATACTAAATAATTGAATATCATATTTACAAAAATATATATTATTATGTACAAAAAAATTAAGAAAATGTCATGTTTTGGTTAAATTGTTTTCTAAGGTCTATTAGAACCTATTTCTTGAATTAATGACATGTGTGCTCTGAAGCAAAACATTCCTGCAGTCATAGTTAAGCTTTAAATAATTCACAGACAAACACAACACTAACATTTTCTGTTTCTAAGAAAGAATAGGATTTTCCATCTACAAACACAATTGGAACAAAAAGTGACAAACAAACAAAATATCACAAACTTAACTAAACGAGCAGACCGAGTTAACTGAGAGATAGCTGTTCCATTCCTTCAACAACCTTGAACCTTCCCCACTCTTGAACAACTAGTTTATGGACAGTGGGAATTTCCTTTCTCATAAATGTGTCCTTTTGCTAAATAAATTTAAAAAAAAATTCAATTTGCAAAGTTTTATTTTGATTTTATACTAATTAATCAAGGTTAAAAGTTATTACCTTCCTCACTCTCGATAATATCGTCAATTTTCATCTAGAATAACAACTAGTGCGAGTATTAGTTGAGAAAAGGATGAAGAGTTTATTTATAAACAACATTGAAAAACCAAAAGACCTTGTATAATCATAAACATCAAAACAAATTATATTAGAGGCTACCAAATTATTTCCTTTACACCTCTGTAAAATTGTTTTTAAATAATGATACTGTAAATAATTAACGCATATATTAATTGTCCTTTGCTTAACAATATTAACAAATAAAATCTTGGTAGGTAATTTTTTCGTTAAAGAAGTTTAGACCACTTTAGAATAATGAAAAATTTAATCCTACTAACAATTAAAAACTGGAACAATAGGAAAATATTTGATTATACATTTGAATATCGACATTTGACTATACAAAAACAAAACAGATGCATCACGTTCAAAGTGGTTTTTATTGAATTCTGACTGAAACAGTTAGTTTTATAAGAAAACAGCAACATCATTTATACTATTTTTTTAGCAGTATCTACGATGAATAGTAAATTATTTTAAAAAATTATCAAAATCTAGTCAAATGGATATTCAGAGGTATTGTTTTTAAGCCACTGATTAAGTAAATTTAAAGTTAAAGTTAAATATTTGAATGATTTCATAGCCCCGTATATTTTTCTGTTAATATGATTTATTTATTGCTTGGAAATTAATTTAAAAATAAAATTGGACATTTTTATATACAACAAGTTTATTTATGAGCAAGTATGTAAAAGGGCTACCATTTGCAATTATGTACATTTTTCTGTTTTCTTTTCTAATTCTTTAATGTTAGCTACACATTTTCTTATTTTATCAACTAACACTTCAGCAATTGCCATTGAGGATGTGGCTCCTGGGGATGGTGCGTTTCTACAATGCAAGATCCTCGGATTCTGTTTGTCTCCACCTTCGAAGACAAAATCTTCGACCAGTTCACCATTGGGTGAAAGAGCCTGTGCTCTAACGCCAGTTGGTCCGCTGTAGGAATAAAGTTGAAAAGGTGCTTTGTTTTTAATAAACTTACATATTTAAATTAAATCATTAAACCTTGTCACATCGTATACACTAAGTGATGGGACATATCTCTGCAACTCCTTCACTTGAATGATTTTAAATAATGACTTCATGGTTTCTTTGATACCGTAGGAAAAGTTGCTGTATATGAGCTTATGCAGTCCTCTGTAACTGAGTGAATCCAGAAGTTCAGTAGGAGAAAAGGATAAATACCTGGAAAATTATTGCTTAAAAAAATTCATTTTTTTTTTTTTAATTATAATCATACCCGTATCCTTCTCGGCTATACGCCAAAATGGCATTTGGTCCAAGCCAAATACTACCATCCATCCTGGGTGTAAAATGGACCCCAAGAAAAGGAAATTTTGGGTCAGGCACCTGAAACAAACAATTTGAAATGAAAAACTAATTTCTTGTAACTGAAATATTAATTTACAATTAAAATTAATAAACTGCAATTATTAATTAATTGTGATATGAATTTCAAAAAACGTTACATAATTAACCAAAAGAACAAGTAGCTAAAACCATAGTAGAACTAGTGTTCTACGAATTGCTGTGTTGGTCTGACAGACATATTTCAGTGTTGGGTCTGGGTGATTTTTCAAAAATTACCAAAATGGTCAGAAATGACCAAATTATAAGTTCCATAGCAGAGATCATATCAACTCCTGCAGTCCTGTTTTAGAAAAAAAATGTACTTTGGTTCAAATTCAGGACTGCCGAGATTCAAACTCAGGACACTAAGAGTAATCAGTTGCTGTGTTAACACTCTAAATATATAACATACATAAATATATAACATAAATATAAGCATAAATCATGTCAATCAATATGAAAATTTGTTAAATAAAAAGTATAATGTAATTCCCATAATAATGGGCTTAATGCCCACCATCGCTTTACAATATTTTTTAAATTATTCTCAAATAAAAGGCCAAGGATTTGAACCTATAATCATTAGTGAGGCAATTACAAGAATTTGACACCTGAATGACAAGGTAAAGTTACTAAGTTTATGGGAAAATGTCTGATCCCTCGTCCATGATATCCAATGTTGGGCATTAACTTTATTTTATTTTACTTTTTGTTCAATGATTAAAGAAAAAAGGTTCAACATGATAAAAATTTGATCTTTCTAGTTACTACCTATTCAAAAAATAATAAAATATATTAAGAAAAAACCTACAGGATATATATTTCCCCTAACGAGATTTTCCTTTGTTGGTTTTAATATAAGGTATTCACCCCTAAATGGGATTATTGCTGGATCTGACTTCCCTCCAGTCAAAACTGCCAGCTTGTCAGCATACAGCCCAGCACAGCACAAGACAAATGCTGCCTTTACAAACTAAAAAAAAAAAAAAAAAAAAATGAATACTTAAAACCACGTTAGGTTTCTAATCAGCATACTTGTCCACATTCTGAAATTACTCGTATAGGGTGAGGATCTTGTTCAGTAAGCTTCGGTTCCATTTGGAAATCAGTTACTTTAAAGTTGAGAATTACCTCTCCTCGGGATGCTTTGAAGTCATCAGCAAAGCTATTTGTAACCACACCATAATCAACAATACCCGTATAAGGAGAATATATAGCTTTAAGCCCCTGAAAATATTTTCTTTTATAAATTTTATGATGTTAACTTTATTTTTTCATTTACTCACTCTAGCATTTGGTTCGTATTTTTTTATTTTATCACCTTCAATCATACTCAGATCTGGGACTTGGTTGTCCATCCCTCTTTGAAACAGAGAATCAAGCCTTTCAAGTTCATTGCAATCAGTGGCAACGATCAATTTGCCAACTCTTTTGTAAGGGATGTTCTTTCTATCAAGATATTTGTACAGCAGGTCCATCCCTCTGTTGCAGAGTCTTGCCTTGACTGAACCGGGCTTGTAGTAGATTCCAGCATGTATGACACCGCTGTTATGACCTGTTTGATGCTGTGCGAGGGCATTTTCTTTTTCAACCAATGTCACCGAAAGTTCTGGATGCTGTCTCTTTAATTCCCTAGCAGTGGCAACTCCGACAATTCCTCCTCCTACTATCACGACATCACTACAGCTCAGGGGTCTAAATTAAAATAAAATATAAATTTAACATTTGATTTATTAAATTGGATCTTCCTATTAGGTTTTCCTACAAGTATTAAGATACACGAAAAACAATTTCATTCCACCATTGTTAGTATCTACTAGCTACTAAGGACTCTAAGGACTAAAAAGTTTTATATCATAAAATTGCTTTAGAACCCTTGAAAACAGTTATCCAACATAATAAACATTATTTATTCTACAGTATTTATTTAATTTTTAGTTTACACTAGGTATTATTTTTATTAGCACACTATGGACTAATGTATGAAAGAGCTATAGGTGGCCCTCAGAGAATCCGACCTCTACAAGAAGGGACATCCTCATCCGATTAAGAATAGGCGATATGAGGTACTTTTGGGCCAAAGCCCATGTATGTGACCAGCATGTAGAGAAAGGTTGCTTGATGTGTCTCAATCCTATTAGGTTTTCCTACAAGTATTAAGATACACGAAAAACAATTTCATTCCACCATTGTTAGTATCTACTAGCTACTAAGGACTCTAAGGACTAAAAAGTTTTATATCATAAAATTGAAGAATGTCATTCCTTGGCTCCAACATGTAGGCATGTCACCAAATATGATTGTGCTTAAGAATGTCAGCGATTGCTTGGGTCTTTTGTTCTAATTTTTAGAGGAAACAGAACTCTTTTACTGTATGTAGTAAATGTGTAGTGTGAGAGAGAGCCAATGGCTGAATATTGAGTACTCCATCGACTCTCAATTAGATTAGTTATACAATATGTATAGAAGGCCTGATATACAGGCTCATGTCTGTACACATGTATGTTGTGTTTGAACAGTTTGAACTTATAAGGAATTAATTAATTCAACAGTATGTAGGAATACTAAATAATTTAAGTGTTTATAATTCTTTAAATAATTTATTATTTTCTATATTAAGAATTTAAAACTTGCGTACAAGAGATATAGTACATATCCTAGTACACTTCCTTGAGAAACTCCACTAATAAACATAAGAATATAAGCACTATATATTTCCATAATTTATAGTGCAGTAATCCTTACTTCAAATAAATAAATCAATAAACTCAGAAAAAAGCAAAACATGGTGATTTCCTAAGAAGTCTTTCTGGTTCAGCCTGATTAAAAAATTTTGTAAAATATTTCAAGGTTTAGAAATTATACTGTCTAAGATGTACTGAATTTGTTTGCCATGTAGCATTGTGTTGATGAAATTACCATATTTCCTAAAAATGTTCTCTTCATTTAACTTTTTTTTAAAGAAAACAATCTACCTGACATAAACTTGTCTTATATAAGAAAGGTGACCTTCATTTATAATGATGTACCTAAAAATTCAATTGGTCGGGAGCTGTCTTTTAAGCGATTAACTTAAATTCACTGTTATGTTAATACTCTAAACATTACATTCCCTATCACCTGTAAACTAGATATATACGCTGGTTTCTTTGGCTGAGCTGTGGGTCATACAGAATAATCTTCCCTTAATCCTGTAATCCAGGAAATCCTTCTATCCCTAGGGGAAGTTCGAGCAGATTATATCATTCCAATTAATATGGATAATGGAATGGCACTGACCTTGCTGAAGACATTTGGATTGACAGAGTTCCTGAGGAAGATTTCCTGCCCTCTCATATATTATAAATAAGATCTGGTAAAACTGGCAAAACAAATAGAGTGAAGTTGAAGCTTGCAAGAATCCCAGGGAAATTAAGTGAGAGACTGGTCCCCCGCTGTTCAAACCATAAGGAGAAAACTGTCTTGGCATGCCTGATAGTAGGATATTGTAGTCTTACGCATGGATTCCTCATGGTGGAGGAATTTCCTCAGATTGGCTAAAATTGTTGCGATCAAGCACATAATGTTTTCCTCCTCAGAAGAGGAACACATATGGTATTTCTGGTAGTTTGGGTCAAATAATGTCTGATGACAGTAACACAGCCTTTTCTCTAGAGGGTACAGGGTAGCACAGACATGCACCTCCCTTGTATGCTGTCTATGATATTTTTATTTGATATGTCAATTGCTTAATCAAGTTTGGTTGAATACATGAAACTGTTCTCTGCTTTACGGCCCTCTTGCGTCTGCAAGTTTCAATCAAGACCACTCATTATTTTATTCAAGGCAGATTATGACCAATAGAGGTTGCAAACTAAGCGTACTCTGCACAGATAGTTGAGCACTTTGAAATAAAGGTAACTGAATTAACTGTGCATGTCCCTTCTATAATTCCTCATTTCAGTTATAACTATTGAAAGAGTACTTTCCAGTACCATTTCTACATAATCAATGGCCAAAGTTAAGTGAACTAACAAACTTCAGTGCATTTTGTAAAATATTGTTATAGTAGTCTGAATGCCTACAATTGACTCGTTAACTTAGATATATATGTAGGCATTGAAGATGATTGAACCATAGGTTTCGTCTACTCACTGGCATCAACAAAAGATGCTATAATTATTGCCATTATTTAACTTTTTTCAGAATTTTGTAGATAAGAACTTCATTTTGGTTATGATAAGCAACTAATTCAAATGACTAGATAACAGACAAACACAA